CTCCTTCTCCTTCATGATATAGCTTGTCCTAGAAACCGGTATGGATCTGATTGTAGGTCATATTGTTACTGCTATGGACGTGGTCACTGTCACCCAGTGTATGGTAACTGTACCTGTGATACTGGATACACTGGAGCTCACTGCTGGACTAGTGAGGGGGAGGGAGGGTGGGAGGGAGAAGGGAGGGAGGGAGGGGGGAGGGAGGGAGGGGGAGAGAGGGAGAGAGGGAGGTGGAGGGAGAGGGAGAGAGGGGCAAGAAAGTGAAGACAATAATTGTAAAGTGTTGAGTATGTTTGTATTTCTTATATTCATAGAGTGTAAGAAAGGTTATTATGGAGTTAACTGTGCTCAGAAGTAAGGCACTAAAAGATTTATTATTTATTATTATTTTATTATTATTTAAAGGTGTGTGTATCCTGATTGTTCTGGTAATGGACATTGTTCTATAGTCAATGGATCATGTTTATGTAACAAGGTACAGCAGTTATTTTTATTAGAGAGAATCCCCACATAAAATATGTTTTTATAGTTAGTGTATTCATCGCATAGTTCACTTAATATTGACTTGAATGATAGACCAGTAGGAATGGGCTATAATAACATGCTTACTGTGCACATTCAGCCCTGTGCATGAAGCTATGCTTCTCTTACTTACTCATTTATTAACATTGTTTTCTCTCTCCCTCTCTCTCCTTCTCTCAGGGTTGGACAGGTACATCTTGTAATATAACATTAATAGATCAAATAAATACATCCTCTACCTTATTAATCACATCATCATCATCATTAACTGATACTCCTGATGCTAGTACTACAGTACCAGTGATGAACTCAATCTCCTCATTACTGTCTCCTACTAATGATGTATCAGTACAGGATATTACTGTATTGAATAATGATAATAAATCTATTGATAGTTGTAATGGAACTAATAATAGGTGAGGGGGAGGGAGGGAGGGAGAGGAAGGGAGAGAGAGAGAGAGAAAGAAAGAAAAAAAGAAAGAGGGAGAGAGAGAAAGGAAATAGATTAGTAATATGCTTGTATATTACATGTATGTATATATACATGAAATGATAGTACTATTACTTTATATTTTTTTCTTTCGTTTTCTAGTAGTGCATCTCCTCCAGTTAATTACAGTGCTAACGATGATGATAATCAATTAATTATTATTATTATATTAATTGGTTTAAGTACTGTCACTATACATGTTATACTGTGTGCCGTTCACATATGTTGTCATGGTAACGGAGAGATAAAGTTTAACAAGTCAGAGATAAAGAGAGAACTAATGGAGAGGAGAGAATGGGAACAGATCATGTTACAGAACAGCAACTGGAATAGCAGCACTGATGAAGATTAATGTATATTCTTTTGTATATTTATTATTATAAATATTAGTATTATTCAGAATTGTTCCAGTAACTGCACATTGTGCTGATGACTGCATATAGTAGCCACATAACTAACAGCATAACAAAGAGAATACCAATACTGACAATACTGCCTGTTTGACTTGTAACGACAATAGGAACCTAGTAAAATGTACCAGCTTCCAAAAACCTGGCTTATATCTTATCCAAAATGACACAAGCAAAAACCTTCTACAAAATCAATGAACACATAATGGTCATTACTGCTGAGATGTTCATATAATAATGCATGGTACCTACTCCATGTAGTATTACCAAGAGTAATTATGTACTTATAGTATAGTTTTATATTGATATGATAACATCATACTTTGTCCAGGTGGGTTAGTATATTCCCTCCCTCTTTACTGGGAACTGTGTACATATAATGGTAAACAGGTATATCACATTTCCTCCCCTTTCTATCACTATAGCTATGTTAGTTTACATCTCAGACAGCACTTTATGGCTCACCCCCTCTCCTCTCTCTCTTTTCCTCTGATCTCTTTCCCTTTTCTCCTTCCCATCTCTCATTCACTCTCTGTCTTCCTTATGAAATAATGATATACTATTAATTATTAGACATGTACTATTAGGCATATCAGATGTATATCAAAAGTGCTGGAGAGTTGGAGATGTAGTGAAACAATAGAAAGGAGGATACATGCACTAGGTAGTGAAATGTGATATGGTATAATAGTGGCCCTGTTATTCAATAATTCAAACTAGCTATTCACTCCCTTTGTAAACAGGTGTCTCATATTTCCACCCCTTCCCTCTATAACTCCCCCTTTTTAAGGCCTCCATCTCTTATTTGGTTAAGATCGAGGAAACAAAAAATGGGTGGATAACTGAAAAGTGAGAGGGTGCATGAGGACATAATGGTAAAACTCAATAATACTTCATAAACTATAATAAGTTTTTGAAATTATAAAAAACACAATACAGGAATGTGAAATGACCAAATTTAGTCAAAATAACTCAATATAGTAATCCTATGTTAATATTGTGAGTTTATTCATAATCACAACACTTTTATAAAGTTACACATACTCTCATTTCACTTGCTGTGCTTTTTACCATAAATGTATAGATATAATATACTGAAGTAAATTTACTACTATTATTATAGTATTGTAGTATATACTTTATCACATGATACGTATGTCAGCGATCACATGAATGTTATTATAATAGACCTGGACTTCCTCATACCTTGTGGTTGGTTAGCTAGTCAAGTGAACATTGTGCTTCTTTATAGAAAAGGTTTTCTCTTTAAAGTCCTTCTTTCTTTATTGTGGTGTAAGTGATCACTGAAATAGCTACACCTTATAAGTTACCTAATTCTCTCATTGTTCTCCATACTATAGTACAAGATGATTGATGTCTCTCAATGGAGAGCAAGTATTGGACTGTGGAACTACTGTCAAGCTGCCTCCAGTAGACCAGCTAATGGCCACCACTCTCACTCATTCAAAGCTGCAGTAGACAGCAAGTCAGGCAGTACTACATCAGGAGAGAAGACATCTAAACTGCCAGCAGCTCTGTTTCTTATTGTTTCTCTTCTTTTATCTTTATTAAGATATATGAAGCTCAATTTTATTCCTCCAATTGGTAAACAAACTAACAGTATATAATATTATCATGCAGTGTATTTACAATAGGTATAATTACTGTTACTGTTATGATCCACTGCCTCCAGTCATTAGTCTTGTTTATAGCTACTATTGGCAGTAGCTCTGACCTGATCTACTATTTGGTTTTACTTCTCCTCCTCCTCTTATCAGGAGATATTGAACTCAATCCTGGTCCTATGATTGATGATCAACCATCTTGCCCCTTATTTGCAAGATACCTTGAACCACTTGTTGATTGGGAACCATTTGCTCTTTGTCTTCCTGGTGGAATAACACAACTTGATGTTGATATAATTAAAACAAAAGGAAGCTCTTACCTCAGGATGGAGGCATTACATAAGAGATGGTTACAAGTTAATCCTACAGCATCATGGAGAGATGTCATTAATGCTTTGAAACAATGTAAAGAGAATGAACTAGCTAGAACTATTGAAGACAAAGTGACAGATCCCACAGCTGGAAGAAGTACTAATAATGATATGGAAGTCAGTACCAGTAATACTAATCCTGGTCCTATAACAGGTAAACATACACTTAATACAACACTCATTAACCGATACACTACTGCAGGTAATCCAAATGATATATTAAGGACTCATTCCAGTAAACTGACTGATGCTATTTCTGGTGATTTATTGAGAATAACAAATGAGCTTCATGCTGCAAGATTAATACCAAAACTATTTAGACAAGAGATGCTAGTAATAGGCCTAGGAATAGACAGCTACATAAAATCAACTAAACTTGTGAATGTCATTGAGCAAAAGTTGGAATCCTCTCTTAATCCAGAGCAGTATCTTATTGATATATGTCATGTATTAATAAACCAAAAACATCGTACACTAACAGATATTGCTACCTCTATATTACACCAGTTAGGTGAGTGTGTGTGTGTGTACATTATCAGTGATCAATATAGTCATTATATCTCAATACATTAGGTCAGTCTATACCTCATAATGTCAGTTCACATACTGTACTACCATCACCAGTTCATGATATATCCAATACACCAGTTACTAGCATAAAAGGTAGTATAGTGTCGGTGTGTGCATCATTGGCACAAAGTGTCTTATTATGTATTACATAATTTTATTACTATTGTGAAACCGTATTTATTATTTTGTTCCTCAAATCAGAACTCAATCCTGGTCCTATGATTGATGATCGACCATCTTGTCTCTTATTTGCAAAATGTCTCAAACCACTTGTTGACTGGAAACCATTTGCTCTTTATCTTCCTGGAATAACACAATCTGATGTCAGTATAATTGATAAAAAGAAGAGAAATGCTCACCTCATGAAAATGGCTTTACATAAGAGATGGTCACAAGTTTATCCTACAGCATCATGGAGAGATGTCATTAATGCTTTGAAACAATGTGAAGAGAATGAACTAGCTAGAGCTATTGAACAAAAAATGAAATTGCTTTCTACAGCATCAGAAGATATAGCAACTAGTAGTTATGACACTATATCAGGTAGAAGTGTACAATGATATTAATAATATTTAATGATAAACTCCTGTAGGCAACCCAAAGAACATAATTTTAAAAAGACATTCTTATAAATTAGTTCATGCTATTAGTGCAAATCTTTACAATATAATATATGCACTGTATGCTAAAGACCTGATACCACAACAAACTAAAGAAGAGATGCTCACATCAGGAGTCAATAATTATCTAAAAGCTGCCAATATCTTAAATGTGATACAACGACAGTTGGAATCCTCTTCTAATCCAGAGCAGTATCTTATTGATATATGTCATGTATTAATAAACCAACAACATCGTACACTAACAGATATTGCTACCTCTATATTACACCAGTTAGGTGAGTGTGTGTGTATTTTATCAGTGATCAATATAGTCATTATATCTCAATACATTAGGTCAGTCTATACCTGGTAATGTCACATCCATTAGTTCAATACATGATGATGTTCAAGGATATGCTGACAATATGAGACAACACTACAAACACCAACCTATTGTTGCTACAGACTGGCCACCAAGAATTGGAAAAGATTTTTTTGGAAGACTAGCACTAGTAGAAAAACAAGACTCCACCACACAAGCAGAATCAGCTTGGCATCTGCTAAGAGGACAAGTTGATAAAACAGTTAAACTAACTGAAAACAAAGAGATAAGTGTTGAAGATGTCCTCCAACCCACAGATAGTTCTCTGTCTCTCAGAGTAGTAATAGATGGTCCTCCTGGTATTGGCAAGACCACACTCTGTCGTAAACTGTTAAATATGTGGTCTAATGGACCACTTGTACACCAACAGTATGACTTGGTACTTTACTGTCCTTTAAGGAATAGCAAGATAGCTACAGCTACTACACTAGCTGACCTGTTTCAGTATAGATGTTATGAAGTTCCCATGGTAGCTGAATGGTTTGAGAAGAGAAGTGGAAAAGGATTACTGATAATCTTTGATGGTTGGGATGAACTAAGTGAACAACTCAGACAGTCTTCATTAGCAGCTAGTATCATTTGTAAAGAGAAGTTATACCAATGTTCAGTAATTGTTACCTCTCGTAGCTATGCCTCCTCTTCACTTTTGAAAATGGATACTCTCAGTAGACATGTTCAGGTCATTGGGTTTTCTAAGGAAGAAATATCAACAGTAATTATACAAACACTTCAAAAAGATACAAAACTAGCACAAGAACTCATTGATAAGAAAAGAGAAGATGAAGAAAATTACAAACCTTTCACAACTACTCAAAGCAGTAAGGACTCACAACTAGCAGTGAAACTCATTAATGATCTTAAAGTACGAAATGATGTCCAATCATTGTGTTATGTACCACTAGTCTGTTCCATGGTCATCTTAATTTATTGTAAGGAAGGAGGACACTTACCAACAACACTCACTCAACTGTATGAGAACTTTATTCTACAAACCATCAGAAGACATGTTAAAAGACATGACATTAACCCACATACTTTAGGTAGCCTTTCTTCATTACCATCACAATTAGCTAAACCTTTACAAGAGATGTGTCAATTAGCTTATACTAACTTGGCTAATACAAGAATGAAATTCTCTTCACATCAACTACAGTCACTGAGTGAGGCAGTCAAGGAAGACTATCTTGGATTGATGACAGCATTCAAAGAATATGATGAGGAAAAGTATCAGTTCCTTCACTTGAGTATACAGGAATTTCTAGCTGCATGGTGGATAGCTAAGCACGAGAAGAAGACAGAGGAAGTGTTTAAGGATCACTTTGATGATGATCACTTTCGAATGTGTCTGAGGTTTGTAGCAGGTCTAACTCACCTTGAACATGAGAGCTATCAACAGTATTTTAATATACAACAACTTGACTTACAGTGTAAGAGGAAACCATTGTTTGGATTTGAGACCTGTCATCTCTCCTACTTCTATCAGAATCCTGAGATTAGAGAAATTGATCATATTAGTTTTGATGATTTTGACAATGTTCCCATTCTTCTTCTACAACTCCTGTATGAATCGCAGTACACAACATTACATCAAGTATTAACACAATCCATCAAAAACCACTCACTGTGTCTGAATAGAGTGTCATTGTTTGACTGGTTGTGTCTCAGTTATTGTATAAACAATTCCAACACAACATGGAATAACTTGCACCTGGGGTATGTATCTAACCAGGAACTATCAGTCTTCACTGCTGGACTAACCAATAACTCACTACAGACCCAGTGTAAGAGACTTGAGGTAGAGCTGAATAGACCCACTGATGAATTAATACACAAATTATTACAATCATCACTTCTGTACAATATTCAGGAGTGCTACTGTGAATTATTTCAAGGTCAATATGTTGTATTGTTACAGTTCCTCAATCTTCCTCAATTGAAGATACTGCACTGCAGTATACAGAATTCTACTATACCAACAGTTGACAATACACACTACACAGAAAAGTGCACTGAACTTGAGAAATGTATAGAAATGAATTCAACAATACAAGAAATGAAGATTGAGTATAGTGTAATGAATGAAATAACAAGTACCATTATCAGTGTCATTAGAGGAGTAACAAGAAATAAAACAATAACATCATTAACAATAGATGTTGATACTCCTCCTCCTCCTCTACTTAATGGAGTAATAGAGCAGTTACTAAAGGACAACAACACATTACAAGCTCTTTCACTGAACATACCTGATGAACTCCTACCATCATCACTGAATATAGTAGAGGTGAACACACCATTGACTGCTCTAGAGATAGGGAGTAGTAAACTGATGACACCATCACTCCTTCCACATATCAAAGGATTGCACTGTCTGAATATACATGATCCATACCCACCACATCTTCTATTTCTCTCTCATCCCAGTTTACATACACTTACTTTACCACTAGACACAGCTGAGAGTGCTATCAAACTATTTATTATTCTACAAACCAATACTACACTTAAAGCTCTGAGTGTGGAGATAAAGGAGGAGAGAGTATATACCAGCAGTATGGGTACTAGTCTACAAGACATGCTAACACAAAACCAAACACTAAGATACCTTGAGATTAATAATGACGAACACATTTCCAACAGTTTCTTCCTGTCCTTCCTAACAACTGGTCTCAGACACAACACCAGTCTACAGCAGTTGAGTGTATCTACTCCACTGAATGAAGAGATAAGAACTTTTATTAATGTCATCTCTCAAAAAAACAATCTCACGGAACTTGAAGTGAATTTCAAACCAGATCAGTCATACAGTAAATGTAGTGAGGAAGAGAAGGAACAAATAATGACACCATTGTTTTATGAACAGGTACTACCTGCTGTTACTAACATGTTACAGTCACATACAACCATCAGACTACTGAGGATAGAGTGCTGGTATATTAATGATAAGTCATCTCAACCTAACTGGATAGAACTAGTACAACATTTATATAAAACTATCTTCATTCATCCATCACTTGAATATATTAAGATTGATACTGTCTCTCCTCTCCTGGTGAATACTCTTAATGATCAAAAGAAGACATTGATTGATAGACACAGAAAAGAACAAACACACAAGCCACTACCAATAGTGGATATACCAGCAATGCACATAAGTAAGATTTTTAGAAATATACCTTTTATTGTATCAACAACAATTATTATTCTTGCTTCTATTTTTTCATTTATCAGGATCTAATGAAAGTAATATAATTGACTCTTGCCCACTACATAAGACAGTCCACGATAAGCAGTCTTATTATTTGGGTAAGAAATCATGATCACTGCATGAATAAACTATACATGAAATATTCAATTCTTACATTAGATAAACTGCATTATCTAAGAGATGTACATATAATAAAGGACAAGATGTTTGCTGTTAATAATCAGTTAATAAGTTGGGAAAAATATGGAATGAGGATTAACTTCCCTAAAGAATATTTTTCATCAAGGAATACTCACCTTGCTGTGCAAGTTACTGCACTTGCAGGTGGAAAGTTTGTGTTTCCAGAAAATACAATTCTTGTTAGTGCAGTATATGCTGTATCTACCTCCATTCCACTGTTTATGAGACTAGAGCTGCAACACTGTATTGATCCAGATATGACATGTTACCTTAGATTTGCCACTGCTTCCATAGATAATTGTCCTTATCAGTTTGCTTTAAAAGAAGAAAAATTTCAATCTGATGGTGGGTATGGGTCTTTTCATTTTGATACAAATTGTTTCATTTGTATTTTGGGATTAAAAGAAGTGCCTATAGACCATGAGCATAAGGTCATACCAAAACACCAGCAACAAAAAAAGATAAAAAAACAACTACTGCTAGAAGCTCAAGATGAGTGTCAACAGGATGAGTTACAACAATCTGGAGGAAGCAAACAAGATCAAAAAGGTGATAAAAAAACTGAAGTGCAACGGCCCAGGAAAAGGCAAAAGAAATGTGATAAACCATATCAAAATAGCAAAAATTCCTCTACTAGGCAGCAGAGCCCCAAGACTTCATTAAGTAAGACTTAATATTTTTATTGGTGTATAATTTGTTAAAAACAGCTCAAGCTACTCATGTGGAAGATTCTGAAACTTTTGCAGGATTGTTCTTCTATGAAAAACAAGATTTTAAGGACTTGGTGAGATTTATTGCTGTGAAAAATCTAAATGCCCTTCTTAAGGTAAGACATTGTAATGATAATTTTTAATTATGAATTTTGTTTATGAAGTATGTGAAAAAAAACTATCCTGAATGGAAACAGGATCAACCTTTGTACTTCAAATTTGATTGTGAATACATTGAATTAATATTTAAAGATAACTCTAAGGAAAATAAGAAAATGAAAGGATGGGACGTTAGGCCTCATTTACAACCTCCCAGAGTAAGTAAAATAGAATCATTTAAGACTATTTATTACATTGTTGTCTTCAGTTAAAACGTATTGATGTAGAAAAGTTTGGCGAAAGTGATCGTGTTATTCCTCCATTAATTCTCATAACAGTACAAGGTTCACCTGATGCACCCAGAACACTATATTATGCTGTACCAATAAAGGGGACCAATGAGCCAGTAAAGTTATATATTGAAAGTGATTTAAGAAGAACTCCAACTATAAAACAAAGTAAGCTCAACTTTATTGCTACAATTTTATTTTATATTCATAATAGAAATTTTGAATTGCAATGATCATAAGAATAAAATAGTCACTGACTTAGATAAGTATAGATTTGCAAAGGGTGATTGGGAAAAACTTGGATTTACTGGTGCAGCTACAGACCTTGCAAATCAAGTTTAGTTCTATTATAATAAGTGCAATATGGTAATTGCAAATACTTCTAGTTCCTTTTTTGGACAGTAGCAAGGATAGTCTAGCTAGTTCTTGTTATTGCCAGTACTGAAAAGCTGTTGGTTTAGTTTTAGTTATATATAGCTCCCCATATATAACTTGAGTGTTTAATCCATTCACAAGATAAGGCCCTTTAAAAGTAAAGCACATTATATATATCCCAGAGTCGGGCCTGATTGTGTTCACACTGGAGTGGTTTTAAGTCACTGCCTATCAACAAGAGTATATAATATAAAGTATTATTTATAAAGTATATAGTATATAAGATATATATTATGTACTCTTGCTATCAATAATATGCATTTAGTGCTAAACTGATGTGATGCATTGTGATCAATATAAACCAATGGCAACATACAACAAACACAAGCCAATGTCAGTAAGACACAATGTGCTACATACATGTAAGTCAGATAGTGTGAACTTAACTGACAAGATGTGAACATTATTGCAGCTGTATAGACATTAAGGTCAAATAATATGACAGTTAAATTGATAAGATAATCTAACAACATTATATCCTATCTTATTCTTATAGACACAAAGTGTACTAAGGCAGCAGTCCAAAAAGTATTTGTTTCATCTGCTAACCATTACATGCTAATAGGGACTGGACTGGATGTAGATGTGTCTGATCTGACGCCAATACCAGGACAAGCAACTAACAATCTTAATTTGGTAATCCATAGGTGGTTTGAAGCTGATGAAAATCGCACTTGGGATGAATTAATAAAGCTCTGTGATGAATATCCTGATAAACTTGGCAGAACAAAATCTATTCTTCTGAAACATATAGGTAAGAATTAATCATATTATTAATAATATTGATTTTATAAGCAGGTTCGGCCGACAGCCATGGGACTGGGACAAAACAAGAAAGTAAAAAGATTGATCCCAAGTAAATACCCTTTACTGACTCCAATTAATGAATCTGTTGTTGTATTTACAGAGAACCAGTTGATAGTGCAGCAACTGGTGAGGACAATGTAAGTGCAGCAGCAGACCCACCTCCTGATGTCAGTGAATATTGCCCAAAACTGGAGGACATTGAACGAAAAATTAAGAAAAAAAAATTCAGAGATCTGACCGCAGAAGATAAAGAGTTTATAACAAAAATCCGTTACATTCTGGTGACTGCCACAGATATAGAATACCGTGCTGTGATGGGTGCAATTGATTCTCCTGGAGGTGATGGTAATTACTTTAGAGTCATCACAAAAGATAAAGTGGCAAATTTTATTATGGCAAAATTTGGGCCGTATAATCTTGCAATAACTAGGACAGGCCAGGGCCCAGATGAGACTGAAGCAATTCTTGTTTCAGTACAAAATGACACAAAAGCTAAGTATGTCATTGCTATTGGGATATGCTATGGAGCAAAGGAGAGCAAAACAAAAGATCTTGGTGATAAAACAAACTTAGGTGACATTATTGTTGCCAAAAGTATTGTCGACACTGCACATCAGCATATTGAAGGAAAGGACACAATCGTTTTAACTAACACGTACCCATGTGGAAAGAAACTTTTTAATTTGTTCAAACACGATGAAGTCTTTGAATTTGAAGGTAAAGCTGTTAAAGTTCATCATCAAGGTGATCTGGCCTCTGAATTCACACTGTTTCGTAGCAAAGAAGCAAAAGAAGAGAAGTTGAAATATGTGCAACAAGCACTTGGAGGAGAAATGGAAGCAAAGGGTATTTATAAAGCTGCAGAAAGAGGAGGATTTGAATGGATCGTAATAAAGGCTATCGTCGACTGGGGAACAGAAGAAAAAGACAAGAAGTGGCAACCATTTGGAGCTGTCTTGTGTGCAAGGTTTGTCCTACAGTGCTTGGACGATGAGGATGAACCATAAGTATTAAGCTAATACTGCTTATTAATCTAAACTAGTTTGATATTGACATAATTATTAATTAATTGTACCTTTTAGATCTTTCTTTTACTAGAGATAAACATTAATTTTTGTGAGGTGATGTTAAACAGCTAGCTTTGCTACATCTGTCAGCTATACCTGTGACAGATGAATGACAAATGTATCTATTGTAACAGTGGCCCTTAAAGAGAAAGAAATGGGGTAGGCATAAGATAACATTATACAAACCATTCCCTCCCTCTTTACTGGGAACTGTGTACATATAATGGTGAACAAGTATATCACATTTCCTCCCCTTTCTATCACTATAGCTATGTTACTGTCAGAGCTCATTAACAAGTACTTACATGTAGTTCACATACTGAATACTGATGGCAGTTTATCTGTTATCAGAATCAGACAGCACTTTATGGCTCACCCTCTCTCTTCCTCTGATCTCTGGATCCCTTTCTCTTCATCCCACCTCTCACTCATTCTCTTCCTGCTATATGACATATCAATGCTAGGATTTATATAATGCATTAGTAATGAAGAGACAATATGATAGGAATATGTGATTAGTGACAAAAGAGAAAGAAATAACAGCATT